GCAGTAATTTCTGGAACTACTGAAGCGATTTGCTAAGAATATAAGATAGGTTGAGATCCTGTGAAGGACATAGGATAGTTTTTACTCCGGACATCATCCCTTCATGGGGTGAAAATGGGGATGAAAGTTTGTATGGGGAAACAATCAAGATTTCGCTTGTAGTATCATAAATACAAAGGACACTTAAAGCCTTAGGGCTTAGGGAGTGTAAGTCGATAGGTGAAATTATGATCTCAAAATGACATCTAGAAGCGTTCACACTAACTATTAAGAACTTTTTTTGTGTTGTTATTGACATTGTTTAGACAGTAAGCTTTTTTTTTATTTATCCATACATCTACTTATATCTGACTTCAAATAAAGATAAAATAAGAAGAAAGAATTTTCTGTCTTTATTATTATTCAAATTAAGACGAAAATTTAAATTTCATAAAAAAATGTAGGTCACCCTAAGTTCAAATTATTATAATATTATTTTTTTTCAAACAAACACTATGAAAATGATGAAACCTAAATGAGAATTCGTCAACGTCTGGAGTTTCACAGGTCCACGCAGATGCCGGAAGCGTTAATCAAAACGGCTACCCATCCAAATGCGAGCTGCTGGAAAACTGCTTAATTTTAGCATCAACTAAAAATATACAGTCAAATTATGCCACTAGTATAAAAAATGAATCATTTGAAGACATTTTTGATGAATCAAGATCCGTAAACTTAATATTTTCAATACAAGATTTAACATCGTCAGTGAATTGCATCATTCCCAAAAACCCGATTCAGTAATTCACGAGGTACTTTCACTGTAATATACTCGTAACTGTTACGCTTACAATACACTTGCTTATTACTTAATCACTTTATAATGTTCATTGCCGCTCTATGAACTTGACTGATAAACTAGATGTATATATACATATAAAGATATTTGTTTAGATATTAATCTATATCTATTTTTTATTTAATCATATTTGGTTTTTTAGTATTATTATTTATAGTAGTGAAGCTAAAGGAAATGCAATATAAGCAAACAATTTTAAAAATCTGTAAGTTTTAATTTTCCAAATTTCCAAACAAATATTTCCTCCTATGTAAGTTTTTAGTAGATAATTTGTTTTTAAATTCTTTGAGATCTTTCATTACCTATATTAATATGCAAACCCAAAACAGTTCAGTACCTTTTTCTCTTAAGTGCTTTTAAGCTCACTCAGCTTAGTGTTATCAATAAAAAAAATATACTTATGTATTTTCCCCAAACTTTCAATAATAATTCAATCAGTCAGCGTTAGTTTAATTAAAGCTCCATTTTTAATCAAAAGCTGACAAATTATACTTCAATTATAATATTATAATTTTATATTATAAATTTTTAATTTATATTATTGTTTCTAACATGATTACCACTAGCCTTACGTTGAAGGAAAATATCGTGAGGAAATTGCATGTCTGAGAAAACCTAGCAAGTTTTCGAAAGACATGTGAATTCCGCCAACCCGCACTTGGCCATCGTGGTGGACTTTGGCCTGATCCCCCCCGTGCCCAGTAGTGGGAAGTTAAAAAGGGCTACATTCAAAATACACATAATTATATAATAATATCATGTGATTATTCAAACGATTCGAAGCTAAAGTATAAAGAAATAGACTAATGATTTTTTTATAAGTATGTAATTTTTTTAAGGAATATAGGTATATATGTAAATATTTCATGTATGTAATATAAAACTAACTTACAATAACAACTTAAAACTTTACTTTAAACTTATTAAAATAACTTAAATGTCGCTTATTTAAAAAAAAGTATATTAACAATATAACATTTTACGAATATTACTACAAATCAGAATTTAAAACGAAGCATCTCTTACATATCATGACATCTAAATTAAGAATGTTTATGTATGAAATAAAAATGCATCTCAGAAATATCATGATCATAAATCTTATCATCATAAGTGTTCACGAGATAATCTTCTCAAATAAGTTACGGTATAGTGGTTAAAATTTTGTTTACTAAACATTTTTAATACTAAATATACTGAGTTTTTGTTATGGCAATTTTCTATCGAGGAAAGAAAGCATGTTCTTTTAATTTCTCTTCTTTAAAACACATGCAAAAATCTCCAGTTAGATTGTTGCTTTTTAGATAAAGGTGAATGAATGAAAAATAAACAAAAAGTATATCCTCATTTATAATATTCCACTGTCAGGGCTTCAAAACTTAAGTCATTATTATAAATAGACTTCAAAATGATTGAAATTAAATTAGTAATATAAATAATTTTAATGATTTTGAAGTCGGTGTGAGTTTTTTTAAATTTATATTGAACCAATCATTGAATAATGAATTATTAAAATTGATTTAAAAAATATAATTTCGCGTAACATACACATAACAAAACAGCAAAATTGAGATTCCCTCCTTTTTTAAGCCGGTTAACAAATTGTAATGTTGATTTAACAAGTAAAAATAAAGCAGGATATTACATTTTTTCGTCATTGAGTACTGTCATCACATAGTGTATGTGTAGTATGTTCCACTGTCACTACCTTCTACTCCGTAGGTTAGGAGTTCCATTTTTCCAAAATATAATTAATATTAGTGTTGTTTTATATTCAATTAATATATATAATTCGCCCAGTGGTTGAAATTGAACGATCATCATTATTGAATATTTAAGGAAAACATATATGAAAAGAATTTACCTACTATGTATATAAAACCGAGTTGTTTCCAATTTTTTTACTAATAACACTAAATCTCAATAACTCAATAACAAATCATCAATAACTGCTAAACAAAAAAAAAAAAGAAAATCGGTTGACAAACAGTTGAAAAAAAAGGGGTGTTTTGATTTTGCCCTCTTTATGTATATAGATAAGTATGAATGCTTCTAAAAAGCAGAGGACGTAGTGTATTAATATATATTCTTTAAGAACAAAGATTTGACTACTAAAAGAAATAATACAGAGAAATATAAGAAAATAATATTTTCACATATTGAATGTAGGTACTGCACCTGTTGAGGGCGTATTTTTTCGTATAAAATATTAATATGGCTAATTTAGTACTTAATAGTAGTAATAAAGCTTTAAAATTTATGCAAAAGATTTCTTAGATAATCTATACATATAATACAATTCTAACTGAACCGAATCTGTACAATAAATATATTTTAGAAATTCTTATTGAAATAAGACATTATTGTCGATATGGAAGCCCAATCTATAATTTTTTGAATTTTCGTGTGTCTGTCTGTCTGGGAACGCATCATGAGAAAACCACTGGACAGATTTTGATGAAATTTAGTATGATGATGGTTACAGCTGGTTACAGGGGTATATGATACTTTTTACTGCGGGAAAATGTCTCATTTCTGAGAAATCTATACTAAACGTTATATGTGTGTGTGTGTGTGTGTGTGTAAATTGGTAAACTTAAAATTATTACTGCAACAATATACGAGTTGTTTAAATATTATTTATTATGCCTCTCATAAGGATAGTACACTGATGAATAATTTTGTAATATGATAAAAGTAAAACTACGAGACTAGTTTGAAATCCCGCAATACCACTTTCGCTTCACAAATTAACAAAAATTATATGACTCGGAAGTAAGATCGATTATTAGCTCTATAAAATGAGCTTTTCTAATTTATCACATCTTTTTATATAACATAGTACGATTTTAAATATTTTTTTACAAGCTATAAATCGATGTGAGCCTAATTTACGAGTATATTACTGAATAGAATTCTTTATGTTTTTTTTTACTTTTTCCAACATTGATTCAATATATGTATATATATATATATACATATATATATATATATATATATATATATATATATATATATATATACATATATTGAATAAATATATATATATATATATATATATATATATATATATATACATATATATATATACATTATGTGTTTCATGAGATGCTTCCTGCTTCGCTTGCGAAATTATATCTAGTGAGGATTTTTTTACTATCAATCATATTAATCATTAATTTTATAAAAAGTATCGTAATTTTGTGTCACGTACGAGTTATGAGTCTTAAATCAAAATATTGTTTGACTTATATTATCAAGAACAAGTAATTAATATTTTTTGAAACAATTTTCGAATATAATATTAATAAGGTATAGTTTTACATTTTATAGACCTACTAAAGTTTTCGCTTATTATAATATTTAATCACATATTTCCCTCTATATCATACGACGAAGAAATGGCCAGTGTCAAAACGACAGAAAGTTTTCATTTTACTACTATCCTTACCGGTTTCGTCTCATAGAGAAGCGTGACCTCAAACCATGGAATTAAAAAATACCTACATAAAAAATTAGGCAGGTGTCATGCAAGAGTAAACAATAAAATTTCACTTTTAATCTATTATATTTAAAATTTCATTATACATTTTATATAATTTTATTAAAATTTCACATTATTTAAAAAAAAACGTGAAATTTGAATGGCTAGTATGTAGAAAAATATACCATATTGTTAAAACACAGATATCACAACGGCATTTTATGTTTTAGCCATTTATTCTAACGACAATTGGTCAGCCGTTACGTGCAGAAACGTTATGCAAGCAATTAAGACCCCTGAAAAGAAACATTTAAGAAATAATTTCGTTTGAAAACTTTATATAGTGTTTAGTATGTGTATACGAAAATTCAAATAATCACACTTTTTCTTTCATTTCATTTACACCAACAGCAAACGTAAGAGTGCGTAGACATTTGGATACGAACAAACTTCGCTTTCTAACATCTAATATTTATTTTTCTACTTATCCCTATGTACATCGCTTACGACGCCATCATTTAGCACATATCGTCAAACAATGCATACATACTTTACGTCATTTTGACACACCTGTAGTGGGGGTCAAAGGATAAATTCCATCACATTTTTGGTAAGACATCATAACGTACCAAGCATTGGTAGTTGAAGTATCAGCTTGGTGATAGAAATATAAGAATTATGTGGAGGTTTGTGGGTTTATTTGCCATATTGGCTACAGTGCATTGTAATCCATTGGATCGTGGAGTGGAAGAAAACTTAGTGGGTGCAGTGTCGGAGTGTATTGATAAAGAAACGTCACTATGCTTAAAGGTGAATAGTGACTTAAGTGTTATAGTGTTGTGTTGAGCTAGCAATATTCAAGACAAACGATTTACTTCGTTTTTAGTGTATAATGAATAATAAATATATTTTTAAGTACTTCTATTTGCTGTCTATAACATAGCCATGTTAATTACGATTCATCATAGATAAGAGAATTAAAAAAATATTTAAGTCAGTGCCAAATTAGCAAATGGCACAAAACCGATGTGATATGAATTACATCATACATATAACAGGACAGTTATAACATTTTCAGACTCGTTCTCAGTGGAGTACTTTCATAAACAAGTAATTAAGTCGTCATAAAAGATAATTGATGTTTTAACATGTAAAAAAATCACTACCTATATTTTAGGGATAACATTTATAAATTTATATTTCATATAATATACTCAAATATATTTAAATTTATAAAATTATTTTTTAGGAAAAAGCTTTGAAGTACACCGAAAAGTTGGCCGTAGCTAAAGACATCAATATATTTGAGGGCATGAGTCTCATCAATACAGGATCAGCACGTTCGTCTCGTAGCTTTGAGATTTTATCTGAAGACCCAAAGACCAGAGAAGTTCAGATTGAGGAAAGAATAGCCAGCAATGTTGAAGATTTTTTGGATAATCACGTACTACAGCTTCGTTTGTCAGAAGACTCTGAAGAATCTAGAGCTTTAGATGATGAAGAAGGTAAATATCACAAAAGTTATTTATGTCTTGAAATGTAAATGTTTGAAGTCATAAAAAGTACCTTTAGCGTTTCGCTTGCAAATTATGCAGGCTTTCTCGTACTTCTGTTAATGAATGTAAATCAATACTTAAAATGTATGTGTCATTGTTAAAGGGTAACCTAAGCAGAGACTAGAAATTATTGTTTGTATGTGCACTTTGCACAAGGCTACGAGTATCGTAATTTTTATGTTATATTGAAGCCTTACATAATATTTTATTTTTTTTCTGTTCTTTTAGGCCGTGGCAAGAAGAAAAAGAAGATCAAGAAGATCCTTCCTCTCCTTATTCTGTTAAAACTTAAGCTTGCGGCTTTAATTCCTTTGTTCCTTGGAATCATTGCGTTCGCTGCCATCAAGGCCGTATTCCTTGGCAAGATTGTCTTCGCCATGAACGCCTTCAGTCTAATAAGGAAACTACTATCTAAAAATAGTTCTGGTTCATCAGGATCTACAATCAGCTATTCTCCTCATCATGCTGAAGAACATCCTGGATATTCCTATGAACCAGCCCAAGGATGGAGTCGAAAAGTCAATGATGCCCAAAGCATGGCGTTTGCCGGTCAATTAGCTCATTAATTATAATTATAATTATCTAGTTCAAGTGAGAATGAGTGTGTGAAATATTTATTTTGGTATGTTTGTGTTGCTGTAAAAGTACCTCAGTCTAATTTATGACAAATAAAATAGTTCAAAAGCACTTATTTGCGTTTCTTATTACCTTAATATATTTTTTAACTTATGAAATAGTGAATATAAGACCTATATCGATAAATTACATAAGATGAACATTATATCATTTCACCGAATTAAAAATCATCATCAATTACAATTTTTTGTAACATTAAATAGTATAACATTTTGTTATAAATTTAAAGAAATAAAAATTATTATTTAATTTATTGGTAACTATCAGCATAAGACCAACACCACAAAGTCGACTCGTGCGCTATCCGACAATATTAATATTAATGAAGGAATAACTATGTCACTCACTATGGCATAATATCATCTGCGGCTGTAGGCATCGATTACTTTAAAATGTTAATACGCGGAAACTTAAAGAGTGGGGCAATTTAGATAAAAAACTGTTACCTATCAAGCGGTCAACACAGTCCAATTCGTTTCGCTTGAGTACGTGGTTCTTAAAAAAAATCATGAAGTTGTTCGTGATATTCCTCAGTGCTGTAGCAGTGGCTTCTACCAGCCCTGTAGCGCAAGAAGATTCAGTGATCAAATTGGTTGCGGGAAATTTTGTGAATTGCATGAATAGTGATTTAAGTTTGTGCTTAAAGGTAATTAGAGTGTTATAACAAGGATTATTTATTATGAACAGTTAAAATAAAAACAAAGTGTTCTCAGTGTGCCTTGTCTTCAGTGTGTTGTCATAGTTTGTTTAAAATTTCCTACAGAAACTCACAAACTAGACAGGACTAGAAGTGTTTGAAAAATGAGTATTTAAAAAAACCGTTTGTTTATTTAGTGAATCTGATAAGGATTGATTAAGATCAAAATAACTATTTTGATTTTTTATAATTATAAAAATAATAAATAAGCTTGAAATAAACATTTAACAATATATTGTGTCCTATTACAAGAAGTAATTATAAAAAAAATATTGACAGCTTTATAAAAAAATTAAGAATTATAAACATTTAATAGCTCATTATTAAAAAAATCAAGAAGTAATAATTCACTAAATAAATTAAACTCTAAAAAAAAATAAAAAAAAAGTTACACCAATGAAATGTTTTAACTTAAACCATATGAGTATTGAGACCAGGTTTTTTATTTTACAGGAACATGCACTCAAAGCAGCTGAAAGACTAGGAACTGTTCGCAAATTGAACATAATCGAAGGAGTAACTCTTTACAATAACGTTCCCAAAGAAGGCAGAAGTTTTGAGCCTCTTTCTACTGAGCCAGAAACCAGGAATAAGCAGATCACTGAAAGATTGTGGGAAAGTACTACCGATCTTCTTCAGAAAAGTGACTTAGAGCTAAGCTTCAACGGTGGTGAGGAAGAAGAAGAAGAAGAATCTAGAGCTATTGGAGATGGTAAGTCTTCTTAAAATAACAAAGCAGTCAAATTATAATTTTAGAAAAAATGCACTTTCGTACATAGATAGATAGTTCCATTTTTTCATATACGTATAATTGTTTTAATAAATAGTAAAAGAATTGACGAATACGTATCGTACAATAATTTTCTTTCTTTAATTTTTTCGAATTCTAATTCTAAAAATCCGTTGAAGCTACGAGTACTTTAAAAATATAAATAAGAAAGTTTAAATAACCTGATTTCATACGAGACACATATTTTTACCAACGTTACATCTACCTTGCAACTCGTGAGATTCTTCAACAGCAGTTGTTATTTTTGTGAGATGACCATAAAAATTACATTTTATTATAAAACCAATGAGGACATCTGTAATAAAATAAGGAGTAGTAAAATTTCCAATTTATAAAAACATAACCAAACTTCTTTTCCTTTTAATAAAAAGATTTCGACTTAATTATACATAATATATTACTATTACATATATTACATATATTATCATTTATATATTACATTGTAAGATAAATGCTTAAGGTAATGTCTGAATAGTATAAAAAAAATAATAATATCAGAACAAAAATGTTGACGTACGAATATTCTATATTCACGTGCTTGTTGAGTAAGTTCGGTAAGAGTGAAATGCGACGTGAAAAGGTTGTAAAGTGTGCCAAAGATACTGGTTTTGAATTTAAAAATCTCTCCATTTTTTTCTCAAAGCGCTCCCGCTAATTATCATTTTATATTCTCGTTCTGATACCACTCCTCATTTTGTATGCATTCCAATATCCATTTAACGTTCGTCATAAATCAGTATAAGCATTAAATTTTATTACATTCCATTATTTTTAAAAGTAAACATTATCTTCCATAATCTTCTAATCATATAATAAATTATTATTTTTATATATCTCACTTACCAAATTTGCTAGATTTATTGTCCAGTGTGGTTAATTTTTACAGTAGTACAAGTATTTTTTATTTGTCAGTTTAAATCTGACAAATTATTAATTACCAATGGTCCAATTCATTATTTTGTTTTAGTTGACGAAGGCCGTGGCAAGAAGAAGAAGCAGCTAAAGAAGAAATTGAAACTGCTCATCCCTCTCGTGATTTTAGCTAAAGTTAAAGCTGTTGTACTTGTTATACTCTCCTTATTGGTCATTGCGGCCTCTATATTCAAACTCGCTGTTTTGGCAAAGATCGCTTTCATCGCCAAGGTCATCGCCATCATCAAAGCTCTTCTGGCTAAGAAGCATGCTCATCAAGAAGAACATATTTGGGCTACTCCCCATGAAGAGCACGGCCATCAAAGTGCTGGATGGGAAGGAGGCTGGTCTCGTTCAAGGAATGAAGCCAACAATCTCGCTTATTCTGCCTATCAAAAGTAATTAAGTAACCAGGATTTAAAGTTATTTGCTAATTTATTTTTGAATGTTTAATTTATTTGTGTGTTTGTGATTTGTTTTACTTTTCGAATGTTATATTTATTTACTGCTTATTCGTAACTATATGTTTTCTATGAGTATTTTTTTATACTTTGTATACGAATAATTTGTATGTGATATTTAATTTATTTATTTGATTATAATTTGTATATATGTTTTTATTTATTACTTTATTTCATTATTATACGTACTATACTGTACATATATAATTTTTGTCTTCATATTTATATATATTATTATATATTTTTACTATTTATATTATTTGTGTATTGTTATTGTTTATATTTTATTAACATGTGTTTTATATTTTTTTAAGTAATTGTTATTTTATATAAGACTTTTAATATTATTTTTTGTTATGTATTATTATAATTATTTAGTTACCTTTATTGATCTCTTACTTTGTTTTGTTTCTTAGATTGTTTTTGTTTTTATTTTATTCTTTGTTACGTGTATCGTGTATCACGAATCGAAAGTGATTTATTTATTGGAGTGTATGTGTTTGGATTTTATAATTTAATAGTCATAGAATAAATGAAAAGGCATTATAAATGTAAATTTATTTTTTTGCCCTTAATTTCCTTCTGTGTGTAAGAGCTAATGTAATATAAGTAATGCTATTCCTTAATTCCATAACAATTTTAAACATGTATGCGAAAATAACCGTGGATAATAAATATCCTTGAAGTTTTAACCGCTGAACAGATTTCGATAAAATTTGGCAAGCACGTAGATTGCATTATGAGAACAGACCAACTACCTTTTATCACTGTCCCGCTTATCATAAGAGCGGAGTCGAGAGCAAAAGCTAGTAAAGTAAAATGTTTTTAGTGAAGTACTTATGATTCATTATTTTTTTCCTCCAACTATTTATTATTACTTATTAGTACCCACCATTAGTAGGAAAAAAATCATTTTAATAATTCGTAAAAAAAATGTAAGCCGACTTTAAGATACTAAAAATGAGAAAGTTTGTGAGTTCGCGAGGTTGTAGGGGGTAGTCTCTGGATCTACTGAATCTATTTAGATGAAATTTGGTAAGAAGATAGTTCGAGACCCTGGGAAGGACATAGGATATTTTTTATTTCTGAAATTTATTCCGTAAGGGGGGAATTGGGGGTGAAAGTTTGTATGTGGAATCAACCTAGGGACAAACCCGAACGAAGCGAGGGTGATTCGCTAGAATTATGTATGGTAATATATTCATTATCAATGTCCAAATAAATATGATTTGTCTACCTATATTTCGACTGGATTTCTCATTAAAAAAATATTCTTAGGATTTTAAACATTTTATTAGCATCATCATAATCAGCCTGCTTTCGTCTAGTGGACTAGATCTTTAGCTCTACGCATTAAACCGCTGCCAGCTATTTTGTATATCGTCGCTCCACCTAGCTGGAGTACGTCCTATACTAAGTTTGAAATGATTAATTACTTCAAAATCTTATTTAACCAATTCAAGAGATAATCTAAAAAAATATAAACTTAAACTGAGCCTACATTGGTTACAAAGTATCTAAGCATCAAAAATTAATGAAAGGAACTTTAATTGTTTAATTTTATGTATTTAAATTAAAAACGAATTCTGTTCGTTGGAGCCAATTTAAATTTTTTTAAATGATCGTATTAATCAGAATAAGATTTTATTATAGGATTTTTTAAATAAAACTATCTTTTCGGATTTTTTCGCGGATTTATTTTGATTTTTTTCCCCAACGTTTCGAATGCTTTGAGGATTCAAAGCACCTAAAAGCACCAACATTCAAAATAAAGCCTCGAAAAAATCTGAAAAGATAGTTCTATTTAAAATATCAAATATTATCGAAATCTAAAAAAATATCATAGGATTTTTGTATGAACTCAAAAAAAATTGAAATTTGGACAGGTCAACGTCGGTCAGGTCAGCTGTTTGCTGGATTGTTTTCTTTAGTAACACATTCAATTTTTTATAATATTGCATAAAATTTCCCAACGCCTTACAAAAACTATCGGCAATATCGTGTGAACATCGAAGATAGACTTTTACTTTCTCCTTACTTTTACCTACACCGTCGTTTTACACGATTAGTACTTGTTTTTACTAGGCGCTTCATTATTTATATATTAGGACCTAATTTTTAAAATCTATCCACGAGTATTTTAAATGACCCATTTTATCGTTAGGCAAAAAATATTTTATTTATATGTATTTTACTAATTAACAATATGCATTAAACTATAGTGTCATTTGCTCAAAGAAAAGTCATTGTGTTGTATTCTGCAAAGGAATTGTTAAATCGAAAAACGTCCCAGTTATCTTTACTAAGGGATTGACTTATTTTTTAACACAATGTGCAAATACCGTAACAAAATATATATACTTTATTACACATTAAAAGAACATAAATTACAAATATTAAGAGAAACTTGAAGATAAAGGTAGGTTCCTAAAAGAGATCTCTTCCAGCCAACCTAGGGGGTGAAAAAGATTGTTGTTTAACAAAGCAGAAAATTGCAAGTTAATATGGAAATAAAGTAAAAAAAATGAAATGTTACAAAAAAAAATGACCACTTTCTTGCTTATTAGCATTTCACCTTAGTTATTTGTTCCTTATTACTACTGTGTATAAAAAATAATATATATATAGTTTCAAAAATAAAATGTGTCCCAGTTATAATGCACAAATATTTATTACAGAAAAAAAAATATTTTATTGAGTAACTTAGACACTTTATTAAATCAGCAGTATTTTCAACAATTATAGCAGAAGGTGTAGCGAGGACCTGATCATGTAATTTTCCATTTTGACGATCACTCGCCGTCCAGGTTATGGGTTATAAAGCCATTGCATTTTTTTCTTTAGAGTTATTTGATATCCAACATTTCGGCTAACTGACTGCCGACCACTCTAACCTTAAAAGAACAATTTGAGTGCTATATTTACAAAGTTGAGTTACATTACTTAACAATATTTAAGATGTATAGAAAAATAATCAGAATACAAATATTTAACTTTGATGAGATGATAAATAAATAAGTAGCATTTCCTAAGCATGCTTGAGAATGAGAATGCTTGATACTTTATTCACTAATTTTATATGCCGGAAACGGCGACATCAGTCCTCAATGCAATTTGAGATGTCCAACGATCGTTAAGTAGTTTTAACTTTTGATTATTCAACTAATTAACTAACTTAAGTTTAAAAGCTCTCGAATAGATATCTTATATTGTAAAAAGCGGCCCATCCTCCCTGGCACAAACAACATATGTACAAACAAATACATATACGTGTACAAATACATATATCATATATGAGTGTACGAGTATATATAAGTACAAGTGTACATATACGTGTATGTCGCGATTTTATTTTCATTTTTCATAACCTTCAAAGAGCAAGTCTGTATAGAAGCATTTAACCAATTACGAACCGATTATTATGGTTTTTTTTAATAACCGATCATAAAATAATAATAAAGCGAAACCTGCACATTAGAACTTATTTGTCACATAGAGGCCAAACATACAATGAAAAATCCTTTTTTTGGGCCAAGAAAAGGAAAATTTCATTATCGAACTTCAACGGATTTTTTATTTTTTTATAAATATAGTCAGACGAAGCCATGGCACCCTGTTCATGTAGCCGAATATTAAAGACCTGAGATTACTCTTATTTTCATATATTTTATTTTTTAGCAAAAGGGCGTGAAATCAACCATGCATTTAATTTATATTAGAAAATATATAAATATCCAATGTCAAAGTTCATGAGGCGTAGCCCAGTTGAATGAAAGCCCAGATATTAGATTAAAATAACTTGAAACTGTAGAAAGCAGTCTTAATTGAATATCTGTTTTAAACCTGTTTGCCCTTACGTTTGAACAAGCTAGAACACGTTTTTATTTTTTCGGCCCGATGACCATCACGTGTCGTAGACTGTTTGACGACCCAAAAAGCAGAACCCAAAAACTGAGTGTTGACAATGTTTTTTTTACTTTAGTGGATAGTAGTTGAATATGACACCGTATTAAATACGGTTGAGAGCCAACAATATAAAGTTTAAGATTAGAATTGTTTACAAATTTAATTTTAAATGGGTATCTTTTGTGTTTTGTCGCGATTTTATTAGTTAGACTAAGTTAGGATCTTTCGTGATCATATTTGCTATAATGCGACTACACGTTTGGCTCAGTGTGTAGTGACCCTACTTGCTGTGCCAGCGGTCGCGGGTTCGAGTCCCGCTGGAGGCATTCATTTGTGTGATAAGCACTAAAGTTTGTACTCCAGTCATGGGTGTTTATATTTATAATGTGTATGTATTAAAAGTTTATATATGTACTAGCAGTTCAGATGACCAAAAACCAAATTCTTAGGTTTTACATATTAGTATACTCTTACATTTCAGTATTTGTATTTTTTCTTGAAAATGAGACATATTAAAAAAAATATGCGTTCGAAACTCGCGACGGGAACAAAAACTCAAAGTAAAACAGCGGCAAAAACCAGAAAGTTTGTTTCATTTAAAGTGGCAAATAATTCGCTACATATTATTAGAAAGTTTTTAAAATTTATATAAACGTGAAACTGACTCTAATTTTTCTAAAAGTATAATTTATAAGTATGCAAATATATTCTTACTTCGGTCTGGTCTAAAGAATAGGTAAACATCTTAAAATCTTGGTGTAAACGACCTGCAGTTGCGGGCAGGCGGCAGGTATGTAGATTTCACTAACTGCTTAATAATAATCAACTAATAAAAAATGTAGAACATACATAAATAAATAAATCAAGAGAGAGCGTCTGTATATTATTAACTATCGAAAATAGGGTTTCAGGTCATTAAGCATTTGAGTGAAATTTTTCCGAAAAATCTATGAGATATTTAGTGGTCAGAATTTAAATAATATCTTAAAAATATGATGTTTCTATCGCAAAATAATTTAGTAAAATTTAACGCAACAGTCGATATGAAAAAAACGGTTAAAACTTCTTTAATAACAAGTTGTTTTCACTTTTCACTAGAATGTTATTTTACTGCAGTCGAATCATACATGCTAAACGATTGATTTATATTTAGAGCAGAATAATATAATAGTGTATCCGGACGTTATAAATTGCTTCTACTCTCGCTTGAAAGTAAAATCTTGTTTATCACTGTAACCTACACAGTACATAGTGACCATTTTCTAAATATGTACTTCTAAGCAATTCGATCGTACCAAATTTCAAACAGGCCTTTGATAATTATCTATATAAATTAGTAGGTTATTCAATACCTTCAATAACTTTCCTTAATCATAGTATATATTCATATAATATTATATCATTAAGTCTAGTTAACAAAATGCTTTCTCACAGAGAAATTTTCTAAATTGCATGTCGCTCAACGTCCACTTATCATCTTCTTATTAGCTGATTTACTTTCATTGGTAAAGAAATAAATGGCAGGCTTAATGAGAATAATTTATTGGATAATAATTTAATAACAATAATTTAAATAAATAAATAACATAACATAATCTTTGTACATTGTTACTAGCTGGTGGGTACCAACAGATTTGACTTAATTCATTTGTGAGGCGAGTAAGCGCTGTAGGCCAAGTTTTGGGCGTCATCGATGTTCTTGTTCCAGTCGGAACCGTAACCAGAATAACCATGACCGACATCATGAGACAGATGCTCTACATGCACTGGGTGATGAGATTCATGGTGATGAGCATGTGGCACAACTTCGTATGTAGTTTTGGTATGATCTTGTTTGAAACACCAGGCGACGAAAAGGATCACTGCGAGGACTAATGCGATTTTGGCGGTAGCTAAAGCTTTTAGTGCGATAAGCTTTACAATAAACAGCTTTCCGAGAAGAACTTTAGCTCCCAATAAACCGATGATGCCACCAATTCCACTGCCACCTTTTTTCTTTCCACGACCTGAAAGTAAATCGATGTTTTTACAATGAGTTACAAATATAATGATTATTTATTTTTAATTAAATGTTTTAATTACCAAAATATGATTGATTATGAGAAAATAAAATTTTGTAGTATAAAATTATTTATTTAAACATTTATAAGAAAAATTGAAAATTATACCTTCTTCAAGAGATCGTTGCATCTCCTCTTTGTCAGCCTGGTTCAATTTTACTTCAAGGGCGTGAGTTTCAAACAAACTGACGACACCATCCATAAGTCTGTAATTAATTTCAGCATCTCTCGCTGTCGGATCAACTGGCAGAGTGTCTAACTTCTTGCCTGACCTTACATCTGGTTCTCCTTTCAGGACCACACCTTCAGCAATGACAATATTCCTGGCTCCTCTTAAATTATCCACAATCCTCAACATTTTCTCCTGTGAAATAAAATCATAATTTAATACAAACTGCAACAATTTAAACGGAAACCCTACTTTCATAGACGATTTAATCACATAGGAATTCTACGGTAAAACGATGGTGTTTCCATGACAAGCGGTAATTTAAATCCACCTGCCGAGAGAAATTATATGAAATTAGCCAGCAATATAGCCGCATGAAACCTGACCGGACACTATAGCACGTTATATTCTCACTTATCACTTTCACTTTAATAATAAAATTATGGACCTTCACACATAAAATGTAATCTCCTTTGCAGTCCTTGATGAAGTTAAGGGCTGTTTCCACGGAGTTGTCTTCGTCAGCGCTAGCAAAGGCGCTTACGGCCAAGAGCACGATCAGAGCAAACTTCATTTTTTTTTTATATAATTTTCTAAGCGACTCGCTCTTAATTTTCTGACATCGAGAGATGTCAAGCTAGGTTTGGCGTTATACGGCCGCGGTCTTACAGTTTTATCTTTCCCCTCCCTCTCCTCGGTAATCTGACTGCTCCATACAAAACTCTCATCTGGGTTAAGAAGATATTGGATTCAGTTCGGACCCTAATGTTCATGCAAATGAGTTTATTTTGTAGACATTTGTTGATTTTAAGTCGTTTTCTTCATTGACAAAAATGCGGGGTTATGTCAGACGGAAATTAGAGAAAGCCTAAGCAATTATTAAAATTAAATATTGTTTATATACGACTCAGATGTAAATGGTGTTAAACATACTTAATGTGATCATGTCTCTTTGGAACTTGGTTCACTCAACGTTAAAAACGTATATAATAATTAATTATATTTCTCACATTTAGGGTCCTGTTTGTTTAAACATGAAAACTTTGGGAATATCTGAGCAATTTAAACGACTTCATGCATTTCATAGCGTATTTACAAATATACTTCGTGAGTGGAGCGGGTGGTAAAAGTTAGTCCCTTTAAATTGCCAAGCTATGCTGCTTTTAGTTATAATTATAGTAGGTATATAAACCTGTTTTTGTTTCGGCATACTTTTTAATATACTCGTAGTAATGATTTTATTAATGATATGAGTACTTGGAACTGAAGTTATTTTTGATAATAAAAAGAAAATGTCAGGTATACGTTGATTATATTTTACTATTATATAATTTAATTTAATTTATATACACATAATATATTATACATAATAAAATTGTAACTGATCGCTGTCTGTACATTGAAGATATTTGAGAAAAACTATTATTTATAGAGGTCTTTATTAACGGAATAGAACCCAAAATAATGTTTTTTTTAATTTTGTTTGTTTTTCTGTGCGTTTGTTCATAAATAAAAAAAATATCAATTTTAAGAATCATCTAGGATCGAAACCGAGCGAAGCGAGGGTGAGTCACTAGCTGTAAACAACTCTAATAAATAGATAAATTTTATTTACAGAAAAGTTAATCGTAGAAGCAAATAATCACAACGCCCCAAAATTGAATCAAGTTTCATTCATATCAGTCAGTAAGTCTTAAAAATAAAAGATATTGTAACATTTAACTTTCATACAAATCTGTTTTCAATACGATACGAACGATAAGGCTATATAATTTTTACCCACAACTCCATCACACAGTGCCTACATTGATAAAAAGTAGCCTACGCGATACTCCAGGAAATAATTTGTCACTATTCCGAATAACACTCAAATTAGATGAATCATTACAGCGTTATGAGGTAACAAACCCACATTGACTGATAAATTCCATACTTAATGTGATTAATAAATAAATAATAAATATGTCGGGGCATTAACACACAGCACCATCTAGTTCCATGGTAACCTACGAGGCCTGTGTTATGGATACCAGAGAGTTGATACACTTCTCATATACAACTTTAAATACATACATATTATAAATATAAGCACCCATGACTAGAGTATAAACATCCGTGCTCATCACACAAATAAATGCCTCCAGTGGGACTCGAACCCGCGACCGCTGGCACAGCAAGTAGGGTCGCTACAAACTGAGCCAAACGTGTCGTCGAATTATGTCATATGTTTAAAAGTCTAAAGTATTCAAAGTATCAATACCTCCAATGAAAACCGATCGAAGTAAAGGCGAGTCATTAGTTTTAAATAATGCTTCGAAACTGATATTTCTTTATTATTATTTTTTTGTAAATCGTTTCTGATCCTTATAATAATAAAAATATGGAAAACGTACATGTTTTTTTCATTTGCACAGTAACATAATATAAAGAATCAAAGTGAATTTAAGCAAGTTTTATCGTATCAATCAAGACTTCCAATGAGATTATTATATCGCGAAAAATAATTAGGGCCTCATATATTCTAAGTGAGAGCTCAAGTCATAAATCGTTTCATATACACATCTAATATTTAATTTCTCGTTTTATAATAACTTAGATAAATATTAATAGAAATCACTTTCTCATATATAGTAATTGTATAACACTATAAATGCGGCTTAGGACAAAGTACCCGCTCGAGAAAGTCAAGTTTACCGTCATTAGTGAAGCATGCAATTAAAATAATTATTTTTTAAAAGCTTATCACAGTATTTTGATTTTAAGTTCTTATTCCAGTGTGCTTTTACAATATTTAAGAATTTAAACTGTGAAACTAGATTTATGAGTGATGAAATTGATTCAAGATCTTAAAAATCCTTAAATCTATACTAATATTATAAAGAGTCAGAGTTTGTTAGTTTGTTTATTTGTTTTTTTTTTGTTTGTTTGATCGCGCTAATATAAGGAACTACTGATCCGATTTGAAAAATCCTTTTTGTAATAGATAGCCCGTTTGTTTAGGAAGACTATAAGCTATATATCATATAATATATAGTCTATCTATTTCATACTATCCATTAAAACGTACCTAGGAACGAACCCGAGCAAAGCGAGGTTGAGTCGCTTGTAAACATGTAAATCAGAGAACAAGAGAACAATGCATTTGGTAGTGAAATATATGTTATGTTCGAGCATTTATGCCAATATTTTTATATTGTGGCAATCACTTTACTAATATTATAAATTCGAAAACATATCTGAGAATATCATATTAAGATCTATGGTTATGATACTGAATCCGTAATGTACTTGTTAATCTCCAAAACAGAACTAATTTAAAAAGGAATTTTCGTGATACTTTTTATACATCTCTAATTAGATAGTAATTAATTTGAGCGAAAGTGTCAGAAGCTATTATTTAGCTTCAAAGCGAAAACTAGTTATAATAAAAAAAACGGCCAAGTGCAAGTCGGACTCGCACACAAAGGGTTCCGTACCATTATCTATATTTTATGTACAAAAAAATCATGTTGTTTTTTAGTATTTGTTGTTATAGCGGCAACAGAAATACATCATCTGTGAAAATTTCGACTGTCTAACTATCACGGTTCATGAGATACAGCCTGGTGACAGACGGACAGACAGACAGCGGAATCTAAGTAATAGGGTTTTACCCTTTGGGTACGGAACCCTAATTACACTGAATTTTATTAGAGCCTTTAATATAATTTTTTACAAGTAACATAAGTTACTTCTTTTACTTTCTTCCAGCAAAAAAGCATCTATGGAAGAAATAAATATTTCTTACGTAAAGACAGCAGACTAAAAAGTGACATAAGTCGGTTGATGTTTATTTCGATATACCTATGAAGTATGGGATATTATTGAAAAATGTACTAAAGAGACTCGACCGAGGGCGGTCTATAATTAGTTTTAATATATGCAACGAAGCTAATCAATTCTTTATTTTTTTACAAGTGTTTACTTTAAAAATTGCAGAAATGTCGTTACATGTATAATTTGAATGTATTTGTATACTTTGAATGTGTATCGATGCCCTTTTTACGTCCCACTGCTGGGCACGGGCCTCCCTTCAGTACGAGGGGGATCAAGCCATAGTCCACCACGCTGGCCAACTGCGGGTTGGCGAACTTCACATGTCCTTCGAAAACTTGATAGGTTTTCTCCGAAATGCAGGTTTACTCGCGATGTTTTTCTTCACCGTTAATACAAGTGGTAATCCTGTTGGAAATGATTCGCACATGAAAATCAAATCAGAGGTGCGAGACCCAGGATTTGAACCCGCTTCTCTCGATTTCCCAAGCAAGCGCGTTACCACTGCCTTTTTTTTGAATGTATTTAAATATATTTATATGTTTTATGTTACATTCTTTTGTCAATGATTTAGTACCCTACGCTCATATTATTTAAGTTAGAGTTGAAATCGCTATGTTTGTAAATCGTAGAAATTCATTAGCGAAAAGGTACGGTTTGTCTAGTGTCACTATTCTATAATGAAAATAAATATGTTGGGACATTAACACACAGCACCATTTAGTTCCACAGTAAGCTACAAGGCTTGTGTTATGGATACCAGATAGTTGATACACTACACATATATAATTTAAAGTACATACATATTATACTTTCTTAGATTTACGCGAATATTTGACATTTTAAATAAAACTATCTTTTCGGATTATTTCGCGGATTTATTTTGATTTTTGGTTCCCGACGTTTCGAATGCTTTACAGTAATCATGGTCACGGGAGAGACTCAGGTGTTAGATGTCTCGAAGGTATAGTTGTTACAGACAGCCTACCCACAATTAACAAAATGAAAAATTGTACAAAGTACCTTGCAATATTTTATAACTTTAAACATTTTTATAATTTTAATTAGTTTTTTAATTGAATGTGGCATATCATTTATTTATTTTTTGCTGTTAGTATTATAATTATAACAATTTTTAAAATATTAATTAGTAATCTATATTTAGTGTTGCCATTATTATATTTATAATCTTAAAGAAAAAATATAAAATATAATATTAATTATTTAAGCCACATACCTAATTGTTCTATGTGTAATTTAAAAAAGTTAAATTTAAATTTTAAATTAAGAATAATAATGTTAGTTTTGTTTGCTATTATTTAAAAAGACTACTACTAAGCAACACTATTACTATATACTTATTTGTAAAAGAATGTATCCTAGGAAATAAAAAAATAACGAGTTCCCTAGACTTGATTTGCTTAGATTAGGCTTCAGGTCTTCGTAAGTGCTTTTTGTATTTATAATAATACGACTCGGACTCGCTTCGCTTGATGGTTTCATTACAAAACATAAACTTTTCTACTTTCTACAAATATAATAAGTATGTATTTATACATATAACACTTCCGGACGGCCAAATTATAGTGAAATCATTTAAAATCCGTTGAGCAAATTAATAATACAAGCAAATAGATGAATGAAGAGAAAAGTTCCTTCATTTTATTCTATATACTAACTGGGATATCCGGCTTCGCTCAGGGAGTTGATATGAGATTGTGTGGTTAGTTGGAATAAACGGATAATCTTTAAAATAACAGA